ACAATATCGAACAGAACAAATTATATGGTGCCAATCAGAGTGGGGCAAATTTTATTTGCGCATTAACGAATATTTTAAGTCAATATCTGAATCGAAAATGAATCAAATTTGCCCAACTTTAGCGCCATTTTAAAAAATAATAATCTTCGTTTTGGCTATTTTTAATATTGCACTTTATTGACACACATTTTTATCATCTAAGATGTGTAAAAAATCGTGACAATCGTTACGACGAACATCCTGTATATTATAATTTGTTGACAATACGAAACTAAGTGCTGTGAAGCTAACATTCGAGTCCTTTCAACGCTGGTAACGTGACAAACGCATCGGATGCTCCGACGTGGCCATTTTACGGGTCGAATCTCGAAATAAACAATTTTCGATACAGGGACGGTTCGCAATACGAGACTGCATATGGCGCGGACAGATGCTTTAAAGCGAGCCAGCTTTTCTCTTTTGGCCAGTTTCGAGCCGTACGAGACCGAACGCATTCTTCGTTCGCGTGTCGAATTTCGTCGAACCTAGTCTTTTTTGCCAAACGTCACACGACACCTCTGGAAACCGCCCAAAACATAATCCACAGAGCGGTGGTACGCGTGTCGCACCGGTGTAATTAGGGTGATATTCCCATAAAAGCTATTCGAGTAAGGTGGACCGCAAATACTATTACCGTGAGCGTTATTTGAGGTCTAAAGTTGTCCCATAAATACGGGGCTGCGTCAGTGTTTTGTGACGGTAACGCGAACCCCTGCTCGTATGAAACCCAGCAGGCGTTTATTTAGTTTATTTATTAAAGTACACGTTCTTTTCATCGATTAGCCCGAGACCTGGTCAGCGGTTATAAGTACTACAATGGAGATTTCACGATTAATTCTTTAGGCTGGGGATTCAGATTTTAACGAATTTCTTGACGGTAAGTTCTAGCTATCTCGTTTTCGTAGAGCCATATCCAAATTTAAAACAAATAAAGTAATAAGAAAGGAAACAGTAAGAACGAGACTAGGATTTGGAATCGTTAATAAAAACAACTCTGGAATACAATGTACAACTATAGTATCCCAGGAATACTGAACGTTTGGTTGTGTATTGTAAAATGTTTGTAATTGACCCCTTCAACTGAAAATAATTTTTTTAGAAAGATTTGACATTTTCTAATTTCGTTGAAAATTTCAGAACCTGCTCGAATTTTTTTCTCGAAAGTGCATAGAAATTCGGGGGGTGTGTCTATGCACCAAAAATGATTGTAATTGACTCCTGCAACCAAAGCTAATTTTTCCAGAACGATTTGAAATTTTTTAATTTTGTCGAAAAATTTGTCTACCTACTCGAATTTTTTTTTCGAAACTGCGTAGGATTACGGGGTATGTGTATTCACCAAAAATGGTTGTACTTGAACCCAGGGCTTAAAAATAATATTTTCAGAACGATTTGTAATTTATTTTTCGCCGAGAAATTTAGACATTGTCGATTTTTCTTAAAAATTCGGTTTTCATTTTTAATAAATTTGTTTGATGCGCTACGGAAAAATTGTCTAATACTTTTTTGTAGGTATCCATGAACTCTAGTTTCCCTCAAAATTTCAATGAAATATATTCACTATTGTGGGAGTTATGGTCGTTTGAAAGTTGGGCCATTTTTATGGGGTTTTTCTTATTTTACGGGGTTAAGGAACAACTTTTCGAATATTCTTAGAATTTTTACATATTTTTCACCAAAATACGCGCTGTTTGCGTTTTGAAACATTAAAATCGTCCAATCCGTTCAGAAGTTATGACATTTTAAAGACACGAAATTTTGGAGTGACATTTCTGGCCTGAAATTATATTTTCGGTAAGGAATTTTTTTCTTGAAAGTGCGCAAGAATTATTTGGTATGTCTAATCACTAAAAATAATTATAATTGACCCTCGCAACTGAGAATAATTTTTTCAGAATGATTTGAAATTTTTTAATTTTCGTCAATTTTCATCAAAAAATTTGTCAACCTTCTATTATAGTTATTCGAATACCCAGATTCCGGATAATCGAAACTCTATTATAATTGTGTAAATTTAGGTTTTATTGTATCAATTTATCATCGCACGAGGAATTAGACGTTGACCTCCGTTCGATCGACAATGTTCCCAGCATTTCAAACGACAACGCTTGCAAATATACAAAAATTTCTCTTTATTCGGTCCTCTGAAAAACACATTGCGTGAATAGAAGTTTCCTAGTGACGAAAAACAATATTTCAATCCCTTTACACATCGAACGAGCCTCGTATACCATGGCAAACATCGTCGAACAAAAACTTTTCGACTCATCGACTCTCGAATTAATACCTCCTACACGTACTCTTTATGTCACCTACATTTAAATGCCGCTCACAGACGTCTCAGTTTGTCCGCGGTCAAACACATTTCTCCAAATACATCCTGAAAGAACAAACGGATCTACGACTACACACGGTCCCCAACTCGCGTCTACTCGCGACGCAGCCCCGACGCTCTGACGCGCTCCATACTAGAACAAACAGTACCCGTGACACCTCGACAAACAAAAACCCGCCGTGGGTACTTAACCGTGGTTCCCTGCGCGTATTTGAACGTATCGCGGGTAATTCCAGAACAGAAAGGAGCGTGGAACGAGCAAGAAACCGCGATCCCGTCCATGGACCAGAAAGATCGATCCGACGAGGTGGGAGAGGAGAACAAAACGTTTCGTTCGTCTTCGACTTCCTCCACGGTTCTCTTTTTCTACTTTTTTTCTTTCCTCGAGACTCGCTCGTGTTTCTTTCGAGTTACGCTGGTTCCCTGGACGGGGCAGCCCCTCTTATTACACGGGGACAGGTACGCGGCACCGTGGCAAATGCAAATGTCGCGCGCATCGCCGACGCGGCGGTTCGCGTGCTCCGCGAAGGGATCAACGATCGCAATCACCGATGTCACGGGCGGACTTATTGGACGCGATACGTCTAATAGATCGATACCACCCATTATTACGTATCCCCCTGCTGTTCCAAGAGGGCCGCCAGCCGGGTCCGTCCTACAAATAATACGCCGCGGACTTTTCTAATGAGCCGGCCGGACGTGCACGTGACCGGATCTCCGCGCGCTTCGATTTTACGCGTAAAAGCCACGGCGATAAAAGCCCCTTCGCGCGACGATACCACCGCACGATTTATTACCGATTCGATTCTTCTAATTTATAGATCAACGCTCTCTCGACGGGTCGTTGTCGCGTTGGAAGATTAATTACTATTTTCAAATTTTTCTGTGGATGGAAACGAACTATAACTATCAAATTAATCACATTGATAAGATACTTAATTTCTACTCGACTGGATGTTTGCTTTATCTTGGTTTTTTATAAGAGAATAAACATTTATTCAAGTATCTATCGTTTTAATTCCTTTGGTACAAATAAATGTACTTTAATTGACGGTAGTTCTAGTGTTTACGATTTCATGTTTTTTGTTCCGATTGCAGTCAATTTCCTTTCGATAACTGATAAATTTCCCACGTGGTTGTTACTAAAGCTACCCCATATAATGAACTGTTTGACACCGTGATTGACAGGAGGTGTTATAAATTGTTATTTAATCGCTTTACTCTTTTTCCTCGTCACTCAGTACACCAAAACAGCCTTGTATCATAATAGAGCCAGCATTGTGTTTGACAGTAGGTGTTATGTATTCTATCGCTTTATTCCTTTTTTTCATGACTCCAAACAATAGACTTCCAAATTGATATTTATTATAATGTTTTTTGGCAAATTTCAAATACTTCTGAGAGTTACACCATTGCACACAAACCTGTACGTATGGTTTCAAATGCTCAATAAAGAAAAAAATCAGATATCAAATGTCACTCAACAGAGTAAATAATTCTAATCAAAATGCAAATTCACCTGAATAAAAGAGTGGAATAGATCGTAAGCTTTTGGGAGTTTCGAGAGTCTGAGAGGCATGTAAATGGTGCACTTGAACGTAAGAGGGATAAGAGGCCTTTTTACGTTGTGGGATTTTAAAAACCGAATTTTTTTTTGCATTGTCTTTTAGTATGTAATCTCGAAAATATATCTACCAAATATTAAATTGAAATTCGGAAAACTAACGAAGTTATAGCCTGCTGAAATGTACCGCGCGTAGGTATAACAACTGGCCGTAAACTTTAAAGCTGTTTTTCTCGAAACTACATTTTTCGGCACTGCGTAGGTGATAACAGAAAAACTATTCAAGATATCAACAGGAAATTTATACAGTATCTTTAGAACTAGTCTCCCTATAGCATGAACTAGGTTAATTGCGATATCTGCAATACTTTTTCTTTTATTAACAAAAAGGCAGACGAATATATGAAAATATTCAGTATTTTTTCGTAAAATAGCTGCCATTTTGCCATTTTTTGTTCTTTTGAAAAGATCCTAGTTCATGCTATAACCACACTCATCTATATTAAGAATATCGTTGGTTTTTGGATTTCGGATAACTTGTTCGCAAGATATCACATACGCAGTCGGGCGTCGTTCCTAAAAACTGTTGTTTGTTGATCAATAAAAACAGCGTAATCAATAGATATTATGCGTTACAAAAATTCGTAAATATAGCTGAATATATAATAAATGTATGTACAAATCACGGAATTAATCGCTCTTTAATAGCCCGCAAAAAAAATTACAAAGAAACATGTATTTTTCGTGCCTACAAGGTAGAATGGCCCCTTAAGCAACTGTTAGGTAGCGAGTAACTCGTAGAGGTACATAAACCATCACCATTGTAATAATTTGTTCAAATGCGTAATAAAAAAAAAAAATAACATGATATCAAGTATCATTAAGAGAAAAATAACAGTAAATAATTCTAATAAAATTTATGCAAATTAGACTGAATTAAAGAGTGGAATAGATCGTAAGCTTTTGGGAGTTTCGAGAGTCTGAGAGGCATGTAATGGTGCACTTGAACTTAAGAGGGATTAAGTAACTATTAGTGAGTAACTCGTGGAGGTAATTACTTACCACGTGTATACCCTCGGCATCCCTTCTGAGGTCCCCGCTCCTCTGGCCAGCCGTAACGGCGGCGCTCAGGTGGTTGTAGTGATGTTGATGCAACGTGTTGAGCGTCTGCGTGTAAGGATCGCCGACGAGGTAGTCGAGATGTTGTGGCTGGCCGAGGCCCGGATGCTGAGGACTCGCTGGCGCGTGGTGGTGCGAGGGGAACGGGGGTGGAAAGTAAGGGGGTTGAAAGTCCGAGGCGGTGGGCAAGGAAGCACCCCCGTGATGGGGCATCCCGCTGCCGTTCCCATTGCCTCTGTGACCGTGGTGATGGGCGCCGGAATACGGCGAGGAATTTCCACCGCCCAGCGAGGAAATACCTCCGTGACCAGTTAAACGGTCCTGTTAACAGACAAAACATTTTTTTAGTAATAATTTACAATATCACTTTGTAACAGAAAACATAACATTCGTTGTTGGTCCAATCTTTAACCCCAAGACGTACGATTTAATTTTTCAAACGTATTAATTTCGTGTACATCTGTTCGTAGAGTAGTCACGAAAAAGAATGGGTTTGTGTTACGAATGCCTCGTCAATGTAAATATGTATTAAAATATTTATTTAAATTCAAATCAACCTTTAATGACCAATCAAAAGTTGTCTCATATCAACATCGATACAAAAATCTATCAGACAAGGTTTTTGGAAAATGATACAATATTCCACACAGTTGAGTTTTTCGAATAAACATTGAATCCACCGTGTAGAAATATATATATTTTTGTTAGTCTTCGATCGCAACTGCGTTCGTTTGTTCGGCGTAGAAGAGTTTGGCCAGTTTCAAATCGATGTTTGTTGATTCGTGAAAATATTTTGCGCAACCGTTTGCCGATTGTGCCGGGGGATTTTGATTTTTATAGCAAACTCGGATGCACGAATAGAAATTTAACGTCGCGTTTAGAGGTACAAGAAGCGTTTGAATAATTTTACGATATGAAATATTACAAACGATCGTGCGATACTTTATGCTTGTTAAACAACTTATGTACGCGGACATTTAGTGCACGTAACTCTTAAAAAGGCGCGTGGGTGGCTGATAAATGCCCATCGGAATATATTGCATTCCGTTGCTTAATACAAAATATTTTCATTTAAACACATCATTTGCAGGGCGAATAAAATAATTTTTGCTGAAAGATACAGAATTAAACTGAACGCAGAAATGTTCATTTTCTCAAACGATAGGAGATTTGTTGATATATACATTTGTATATTGACTTAAAAAACAGCTCGTCGAAGTTGTCGGAAGTAAAATAATTGATTGTGCATGCATGCGGATTGATGATGCATTTAGTGCATTTATGATAATACTGACAAGTTTTTTTCGAAGTCTGTATTTTTTCTGAACGATTTCAATCAAATTATCTTCAAACAAAATACTTCTATACGGAAGTGAATTTTTTAATTCGTGGCATGCAACGCTCGTTCGTAGCTCTACAACCGACGGAAAAGAGTTTTAACGTGGAATTTTTTAGGTATTCGATCGACCTATTTCCATAGAAAATGAACGAACCTTTCATTAACAAAAGAGGAAAATGCAACGATAAAATTGTAAACGCGTAGTATCCTATTAATTTTCACTTTAAAATTTATGTAAATTCCCCCTGCACGGTTGATCATTTTCATTTTCTGCATGAAATACACCGTTCGAAGCAGTTAGAAGATTACTTACTCGAATTGGGTATCTATCTGATCGTTTCACGAGCCCGCGTTTTTCTTTTTAACTGAATTAACGGAAAATGTTAATACAGAAATTTTCTCGTATGATTTATTCCAATTAATAAAGCAATCTATCTATGCATCTTTGGTAAAGAAACTGTTAATTTATTTTTGCAAAGTCAAATCAAGTGTCAGTTTTAACATATTTAATTGTAAGTCGTGTTTTAAGATATCTGTTTTCGACATGTTTACGGTGATTTTTATAATATGATTTGTATGCCAAAATATTAGTTTTCGAACGTCGAATTTTCACATTATATCCTCGAACGCATTAATTTCGGGAAATTACGTATCCTCACGATGTTTTCATCATTGCATAATGATATGTGTCGTTAATTCAGCATTAAATGTCAACAAAAATGCCGCGTACCGACTTTTACTGAACGAAAAGACGATCAAGTCAGAAGGAAACAAACACTTAAACGCGTTACTTTCCAGGCCGGGTTTCTCCTACCTTGGCGCGGTAACCAAGATCAGGTCATCCAACAATCTATTTCTACCGTAATTGATCGTAATCGTATCCGGCGAATGGCCTCACGCATCGGGACAACGCGAAAAAATAAAAGAACTAATAACCATAATAAAAGTTCACGGGGATACGCATTCGTGCGCCGAGGAGCCGCGTAACTCGACGTCCAGCGAAACTTTCGCCGTTATTAAAAAATTGCTGGCCAAGCGTAATTGCAGTGACCAATGTCCGGCGTTCGGTGGAAGAAATCACGGCAACGGCGCTGGAGGTCTGCCATTACTATAAACGACGAGCGTACGGGGGACAGTGTCGCTTATTCGCCGAAGGTGGTGAACATAAATGCGGATAAATACTATGCAAATCTTATGGCGTGCAGCGTAACGCAAATACCTTACAGGCAGAATGTAGGTGTGTCGCGATCTCTGCCCGTGGAAACCGATAACGCGATAAGGTGTCATTAGAAACGATAACGTGGAAGCTGCCCGACCGCGGGACGTTCGTGGATCGAGGCGATTTTACCCCGTTCGCGATCTACGATCGTTCGTCGCCTAACTAACCATGGAAAAGTTACGAGATTATCGAAAAACGAACGCAAAATATTTATTGGAGAAACGAAAGTGGATTATACTAGAATTCGAAAACAATTTTGTATCGCTTAATTTTCTCGAATAATTTTATTTTATTCCTTGCAACGCTGTAATTGAGTCTGGGTTAGGTCTGGGTCACAAATAAAAATACATTAATCGACTCTAATGTAAAATTTCTTCAGTGACTTATTGAAATTTGATAGCCTAGTTTCCATATAACACATTATTATTTTATATTTCATATTTTTACTTATCCAAACATGTACTTCGTTATTTCTCCTTTATACTTCAGGTGATTTTTTTGTATACAGGGTGTTAGGCCACACCGAGGAAAAATTTTAATGGGAGATTCTAGAGGCGAAAATGAGACGAAAATCAAGAATACTAATTTGTTGATACAGGCTTCGTTAAAAAGTTATCAACGTTTAAAGTTCCGTCCATACTGAATTTTTTTCTCAAAAGTGTGTAGTATTTCAGGGGTATGTGTATTAACCAAAATCGATTGTAATTAACCCCCTTAATCAAGTATAATTTTTTCCATAACGATTTGAAATTTTTTAATTTAGTCGAATTTGTCCACCTACTCGAATTTTTTTCTCGAAAGTGCATAGGAATTGGGAGATGTGTCTATTCACCAAAAATGATTGTAATTGACGCCTGTGACTAAACATAATTTTTTAGAACGATTTGAAACTTTTTTTTCGCCGAAAAATTTAGGCATCTACCTTGTCGATTTTTCTTAAAAACTCGTTTTTCATTTTTAATAAATTTGTTTGATGTTGTACGGAAATGTTGTCTAATACTTTTTTGTAGTTATCAATGAACTCTACTTCCCTCCAAAATTTCATTGAAATATATTTACTATTGTAGGAGTTGTGGCCGTTTGAAAATTGGATCAGTTTTATGGGGTTTTTCTCACTTTACGGTGTCAAGGAACTAATTCTTCAATATTGTTACAATTTCTACATATTCTCCACTAAAATACGTGTTGTTTGCCTGTTGAAACATTAAAATCGTCCAATTCGTTCAGAAGTTATGACATTTTAAATATTCGCATGAAAGGGTATAGCCGAATAAGGGGGTCAAATGTGCCCCCAAACCGAATGGAACGAGCCCGGGGTCATTCGATAGCAAAAAAAAAATAACCCATGTGTGCAAATTTTTAACTTGAAATCTCGACCGTGGGGGTAGTAATGGGGTGAAAACGAAAATCATGTTTTTGAATTATTTCTCTTGACCTATTGAGTAAAAAAATGTAAAAAAATTCAGAGACATTTCGGGTACCGGGGCACATACTTTGGGAGATTTTCAGATTTTTTGATTGAAGAACCAGGTAGTGAAAAATAAAAAACAGCAAAAAATGCCGAAAAATGCCGATTACGTATTGAAGGAGGCCCGGAACTACTTTTATACTTTTACAGTAAACAGGTATTACTATTACTATTACTCTCAATTTTTTTCAGATTTTTCATTTTGGTGCGCCGCAGTGAAAAAAAATAAAAACCGAGTTTTTCCTCGTTTTCTGCGTATTAGAGTAACTTACACGTTGAATTTTTATGCATCCTTCAATATATAAGTGTTTTGTAGACTGTTTAATGTTTCTACACTAAGCAGAATTACATAACAATTGAAACAAATAAAATAAAGCCAACCGTTAAGCGCAATATATCCTAGAAAATCAACGATATTTTCAACGGCGTCGATGGGGCACTTGGTAGAGTGTCCGACTGCTGAACCGCTGCAAGTTTTTTTACCATAGGTTCGAGTCTCTCTTCTGGACTTAGGATTTTTTTTCCTTCATTATTTTTTTTTTCAAATTCTAACTATATAACAATGCTTTATATTTATTTATAAATGTTCTGAAAGCATTTTACAAATATTTTAACCTGAAATATGTATAAATATAGTTTTGGAGTGTTTTTTTCGTTTTTATTTTTTTGTCAACCACGATTATTGTTTAACATCTCTTACACTGAAATTAATGTGAAATGTTAGTTTTCAAATCTCTTACCTTTGACTACTGTGAATGGATCGGAGCAGAAGATTGTATATTGGCTTACTATTACTTCTTCTCGCCCTTCGATCAAGCAGATCTTTCCTTCTTTTTCTCTTTCTTTGATAAATATGAATGTTTGCTACGGCTTCAGTATCTAACGTAGACATGTAAGGGCCATTCCACGCCAAATCTATTAACCCACTCTCTGCCAATGATACTTTTTTCTAATAAACCCATTTTTAAGTACCAGTTTGATCGTTTCATGTTTATTTTTGAATGAAGTATCATTGCTCGATGGAAACCACGGGGAAAAAATTCTATTTACGGGAACATACCAATTATCACAAGCCATATCTTACTTAGCAGAAGTTATGGATGAAGATAATAATATAATTGTTCGTTGCCTTAAGCAGACAAAAAATATTATTAAATGTGAAGTGAGATCGCGTCACATCAATAGTAAAACATATAGATGTTACATTAACTACGTACCAAATTCAATTGGTTACTCCGGGATTAAACGCTATTGTTGCGAATGTGCGAATGGTAACCGTACTGTCGGTTGCTGTT